AGCCCCGCTGGGCTCGTCGCTGTAGTGCCCAGCACACGGGGCAGTGGGCAGAGAGGCCGCCCACAAGCCAAGAAGCAGCAGCCCGAGCCTGGCACACCTGCAGCAATGCCCATCTCGGGCTTCCGCCTGGGAACTCCCCACCTTCCCCCCGGGATGAGGGTGCTGCCTGCGTGGCACGCAGACCTCCTAAATCAGCAGAGACGGGGTGATCATTTCATGCCAACGGAGTGACTCCAGCACTAGAAAGAGCCTCCCAGTGGTAACCGAGTAGGCTGAAACATGGGAGGTGTGTTCTGCTCTGCTTCTCTCAGCGAGGATCTCAGAGGCAGTCCCCAATTTCAGAGCCCAGCCTCTAGTCCCTGGCTATCGCATAAAAGGTAAATTCAGACTAGGCTTGTACCATCAGTTTGTGTTCAGCACTTCCAGACACACCTCTCAGACCCACTGAGAAATGCTGTGGACTCCCCCAGAACCCTAGGAAGAGCTTTTTATGAGTTAGTAGCCAGCTCCTTTCCAGACTTTCAGGAGAACACAGAGACTTGGCCATTCCAGATATTTTCAGTTGAGTGGGAACTAAGGGATGGCTTTGAGCACTTCAAACCTGCGAGACTCAAGGTAGCAAGACTTGCAAGACAACGATTAGCCTCAGCCTGACTCAAGGATTTCAGCACAGATCATCTTGCAGAGAGGTGTCAGCCATGGAGGCTGATGGAGATGGGAGCACTACCAAGCTCATCCTCTAAACTTGTCTGAAGCGTGGTGAGGGAACCCTGCTGTTAGTCACCCAGCAAAGGGCAGCAAAAGAAAACCCCGTGGGATGAGATTCTTGATGTAGCAATTGGAGATTCTATCAGACATCTTCTGAATTTGAAAACAGACAACCCCAAATTCCACAGCTCTTTCTGCAAGTATCCAGAACTTCCCCTGGACTAATGATTGAAGGAAGGTTTGAAAACATTTTGGGTGAAGGAAAGAAAGCAAGAGAGGAGTTTGACACAGCTAGTTTAGTATGTCTTGACCATAAGGTAGCAATAAAATAATCATAAATAGTAGTCGGCTATTTATAAGGGTTTTTTTTTTACAGAACTCAAACAGATACTGCTTAGTTCTCCATAAAAAAAAAAAAAAAAAAAAAAAAAAAAACTTTGGAAATCTCAATGTGCTTTTGGCACTGGACAGAAGGAAAAACATTCTCTCATGGTGTGTTGCTGTGTAGAAATATCCACTGACAAAAAGATTATTAACATAATGAAATCTAATGAACACAAAAATGCCAGAAACTTGTAATTCCAAGAGAAATACTGTTTTCATTTGTACCTGATAGGGTAGAGCTGTCAAGAGAATTAGAGCTGTTTTCTATGGACAAAGTAGGAAAAGAAGTTGAGCATGGTATTTGGCCAACCTCTGACAAAAATATTTTGAGCAGGATAAATATTTTCATTTTGGTGAGGAAGCTATTTACCAACAGTAAAATGAACCAAAACCTATTCAGACACCTCTATTGAAGACAAACAGAACCATTCATTGGTCTCAGTCTCTGGAGACTAATTCAAAATATAGTTAGCTAGACTCAGAAAAAAAGTAAAAAAAATAAATTGGAATGTGCAAAACTGTATCCCAAAATAAATTTTGCCTCTTTGGTCACCTGTAGCTGAGAAAAGAGACAAAGCAGAAGCTTGGTGTTGCTTGGGAAACCAGAAAGTGGAAAAGAACAAGAGAAAGTAGGAATGTTATTCTTTCACTGTCCAAGCTGCTTGCACTGAAGTAAGTTGAAATAAAACTGATACAATTACATGTTCATTTCTTTGCTCATGTTATCTCTCCCAAAACAACATAAGGAGAGGTTATTGTTTTAATAAAGGGCTTTTACTCTTGCACAATGAGTTAGAAGATTTGGGGATATCATTTATTTGTCTATCTGTGAGCTGTTCTTAAGCCCTTCCTCTTGTTTCTGGCTGCAGTTCAAAAAAAAGCCAGGCTGCTCACTGGATTTACAGCAGCCCATGGTCTGGCTGGTGCCTTGGTGGGCACCCCGTCACCGTGCCCTGCCTGCCACCCACAAAGAGATTTAAAACGGAGAAGTGATTGAGAAATACCTTTTAAAAGCAGCACAGAGGAAAACAATGAGTAAGAGCACGGAATAAAAGGTATTTTAGCCACTCGGAAGAGGTAGTGTGGCTATCTATCCACCGACCCCAGACAAACCACGCCCTGTGGTTGCCCCGGTGGCACTGTCAGTCGCCTGGGCAGAACTCCTCGCCCCGTTTCCATTGCCCGGTGACTCGCCACAGCCACGTCAAAGCTTTTCCCTCCCAGAGGGTGGGCGCATCCCGGCTGTATATATCCCCGCTGCATATATCCCCGCAGTCCCGGGGTACATCCCCCCTGTCTCAGGGCACATCCCACCTGTCCCAGGTCACATCCCCGCTGTCCCGGGGTACATCCCCGCTGTCCCAGGTACATCCCCGCTGTCACGGGGTACATCCCCCTTGTCTCAGGGCACATCCCTGCTGTCCCGGGGTACATCCCCCCTGTCTCAGGGCACATCCCACCTGTCCCAGGGTACATCCCCGCTGTCCCAGGTACATCCCCGCTGTCCCGGGGCGCATCCCCGCTGTCCCAGGATATATCCCCACTGTCCCAGGGTACATCCCCGCTGTCCCAGGGCACATCCCCGCTGTCCCAGGATATATCCCCCCTGTGCCAGGGTACATCCCCGCTGTCCCCCCTGCTCCACCCGCTTTGCGCTTCCCTCTCGGCCCCTGCGGGTGGAGCTGACGCTCTGCTCAGCCGCTTCCCGCTGCCGCCGGAGCCGAGAAAGCCCTTTTCCAAGCGTGAAAAAGTACCACCTCCTCTGTCCTTTACCCCCAACCCAAAATGCACAGGGAGACCCGAGCTACATCCTTCCAAAAAGCAGGTTTTGCCTCCTTTCACTTAGAGCATTTGCACTCCTACGCACATCCTTGCCTTTGCTCCCTCTCACTTCCAAAATAACAGGGCTTTCCCCTCCACTGCAGCATCCCACTCACTTTCCTCTCTGCAGAATTTAGGAGAGGAGTTGCATGGGAATCAGCTTCCAGGCTGCAGCATCCCTTCTGTTGATGGAAGTGTTGTTATGCTGCAGACCTATGAGGTAAATCTGTTCTCTTATGAACACACTCAGTCACCACCTCACCAAAATACTTGGCTTTATGCTCTGCCTTCAGTTCTGCAAGTATTTCATGCTCCATTAATAGAGTGTATGTGAAGGCTGGATTTGTTTTGTAAGGGAGAAGGGAGCTAAGAAAAAAACCCAAACAATGGGTATTTAGTGTTGAGGGACAGCCCTTATTCCCCACGGCTATAAATACCCAGTGCCCCTTTGCTACGTCTCTTGACCAAATGTCCAACAGCAAAATGTTCAGAAGTCATCACCTGCCTGAGATATTATTGTGGGTCAGCTTTTATGTGAGGCTGCCTTTGACCAGGCTGTTTCCTGTGCATTCCTTGTATTGATACAGCTTGAAAAACTGGCATCTGAATCTCACTCTGTAAGAATAACACAAAGAAGGGGAATGCCTTTATAAATGGACACACAGTTGCCTGTACAAAAACCTGTTGGCAAACTCCCATAGTGCTTCTCCCTATCAGCACTGACTCTGGAGCACTGTTAAAATCACCAGCAATTGTGTATTCCCACTGGTAAAGCATTTTAAGCCTCTGAAAGATGGTTTCATATAATCCTATTGGAGGGACAGAATTTTAATGGCAATATCAAATTAATATTAAATAATAATAAAAGGCATGGTGTCCAAAAACTGATCTGTTTTTATCTAGCTCTATCAGTTAGCCTTTGAAAAAAAAAATACAAATTTTGCCATTTTTTTCCCCCCCCAGCTCTCATGCTGTAGTATTTTCATTACTGTAACAACATGTACAGTCATCCTTCCATCTGCAGAGAGGAGTCAGAATGCACAAAGAAGGAGCATTAAATGGGTAAAAAAAAAGGATCTCACTGATGAAAGACAGAGTTCATTCTCTAAAACAGAGAACCTCTTTTGTGAGCAGTGTTGAAAGGACTTTCAAAATGACTTTTTATGCAACCAGTGACATTAGCTGGTAAGAAGGTGGAACAAGACCGAGTGAATATGTGCAGGAGCAAGTACCATGAAGTTCCCAAGCCATTAGCCACAGGTACTTTGCTTTTTGGTTTTGCACAGAAAGAAGTTTCTCATAGAACAGAAGAGCACAGGCAATTTTGACAACTTTGCCATCACTCCTTACATCACTATAATATCACCAGGAAAGCCATAAAGACCAGACTTCTGTTCAGCAACACTGGCTTCAGGATACATCCTCAACATGCTTTAATATATGTAAAAGTTCCTATGAAAGACATGGGTGGGCAGCTTAAGAAGATAAGGAAGCACAGTGAAATTTTGGGTGAAATTCCTGCCATGTGAGCTACAAGAAGCTCCCTTTCAAAATCAACACATATCTATTCACAGTGCACATCCAAATCTTCCTCTCATACCCATAATAGAGATATTCATACATTTAGCATTATTTTATCCAATAGAAGTAGATGTATCCATAAATCACAACAAGTTTATTACAGTCCTCATCAGGTTTTACCTCCAGCACCATTGGGTCCGATAGATCTGGCCTGTTGTAACAAAGGGAAAGAAATCTGTTTCTAGCCCACACTCCTGCAACACTTATTACTAAAAAGCATCAGAGCCTGGAAGAAGCTCTGATTATAATACAGACTTCCTCCAAACTGAGAAAGCAGTTATGAAGAATAGCTGCAGAGCAAAAAATTTACCATGCACACATGAAAAATATGTTACTGAAGACAGATGGGTTCAGCAGCATCTCTGAATTCTCCCATAGGGAAAACCTCCTGTGAGCACGCTGCAGTGAAACCCAACCCCTGAGCAGCTTTAGGAATTGTCCTTACTAATGGGAGCAAGCTGCCCCAAAGTTATGGGGCTTTCCCACAAAGAAAAGGGCTACTCAGAAGAGTAATGGACTTGCTGGATTAGTATCAATTATATATTAGAACTACCACAAGAAAAATATCGTGGCTGGAAGAGCCTTGTTTTATTATGCATCATTTAAAATGGAAATAAAATGTGTATAAAAGTAACAATGGAATGTGCACACAGACCTGAGTTGAGTCTCTTAAGCAAACAGGCGTTTCCCTTGTTAGGAGAGTGCCTTTTCCCTGGGGATTCAGACCAATTTGACCTCTTGTCTGACATTTGCTGAAATTTTGATCTGAGCTGTTGCTGTCAGGAAGCCATCATTCATAATTTAGCATTGTTTAGGGGTGCCTGCTCGTGAGAAGTTCATGCTTGACACAGAGAGAGACGTAATAAATTTGGTCTCTCAAGAAGTAATCCCTACAGACTAGGATGAAGTGTATGGAAGAAAAGTAGAGAGGAAAAAGCTTTGTTAATGTTGTTGCTGTGTCTTCTATTCCCATAACAAATGATCCTTAACTATCATTAGGGAGAAACAAGAATTTGTGTGATGAACCAGAAGTCCTCTGAAATAACAGTAGGTCTAGTTTATGTGATCTGTTGTCACCCACCTCTAAGAGGAAACCCGGTGATGCAGAGATGAGTTTAAAGAGAAGTTTTATCCACTCTCAAAGCCTAGACAGAAAAGCACCAAGCAGGAAGCCTCACAGACACTCACTGTCCGTGGCCTCCTCTGGCAAGCACTTGGACCTTAAGCATGACCTGGTGTTTGGAAGGGTGCAGGATCATGGGCAAAACCAGATGCAGCGTGCACTGTAGAAATGAAAATCTGACTTAAAATATAGCAAAAGGCAAGACTTGAGTAATGGGAAATGAAACCTGGCTAATTTAGCCTGGCTAAATGAGGCTTTAGGTGCAGAAACTGCAGAGATTGCCAAATTCTGAACAGTGTTAGGCTCCTGTGTCAGATTTCTATTAGTCAGGTCTTCCACTAGCCTGTTTGTTTAGGGCAAAACTTACATACTGGGCTCAGAATGGTTTTGAAACATTCTTGTGTACAGTAATTATCTGCATACAACATATATACACAGGAACCAGAAATAGTACCTCTCTTAACAAGGTCTCTGAAGTGGATTTTTTTCCAGAAGAAAGTTGTCATTACCCTTATCCTCATTTAAAAGGGCAAATAGAGACAGAGACCAGAAAAGACCTGACTGATCACTGAGCTCAATTTATGATAGAAGCTTCTTCAAAACAAGTGCAGTGTTGCAGGACACAAATTACAGAGAAATTCAGCTGTAACTCAAACCCTCGGATGCACCAAGCTAATATCAGCTAAGTGCTTCAAGATTACTGTGGATATTTTTTTAAGGCTTCTGAAGTTCTTCAGTAGCACTTGACTGGGACCCAGATAGAAAATTTAAAGTTTGGTTAATGGGCAAACAATAACAAAAATTTGTTTCTTCACAAATACAAGGAAGGTAAGAGCAAAGCTTGGCAAGGATATTGTCTACCAATGGACAGAGAAGAAATGAGAAAAAAAAAAGCCTTATTTTCTCTGCTGGGTGACAGTACAAAGCACTAGTGAAGGGGAACAGAAGTATCCTGTGACTTAAAAAGGTTTAAAAGTGAAAGCAGCCCCATACAGAGATCTGCAGTGTCATCCAAAGAACATCACCTTGTCACCTAAAAACCCCAAGTGATCAAGGACTTGGAATCCATTGCTGGCACAACCTGCACATTCCTCTGCTAAACCTCAGCTGTGTTTTGCATCCCATGTTGCAGCAGTTCTTTCATAGCTGTCCATTAATAACATGATTCCATCACTGTTATCTGTGTTACATGGACTCTGGATACACAAACATCTTCATTTCTGGAGCTTTGTCATGTTTATTTTTCTCAAGTGACTTATTCAAATGTAATTCCCCTAAAAACATCAGAAGGACCACGCTTTCACTCAGTTCTGGTGCTAGTTCTGCAAACCATTGGAAAGGCAAGGAAATAACAGTTTTCTTTCCTGAGAAGACACACAGGAGATGGATTACTGTGTCTTACAGAATGTCACACTGTGATGTCTGTCACCTAGAAGGCAAGTTTCATAAGTCATTAATTCAGCCAGATGGTGGTGTAGGGTCTAATAGATAACATTCCATGACTGGGAACAGAAACATAACAAAGTCCTTTTTTTTTTGTTTGAGGGTTTTGTTGTTGGTTTTGCATTTTTTGTTTGTTTTGTGTTTTGTTTTTGTTTGGTTGTTTTTTTTGGCAGACACAATATCATTTTCAAACTACCTATTCACTTTGTGGGTGAGGTGGCAGCAAACTGTTTCACTTATATTTTAACATGGTTGCACCAAGAGTCATGTTTTGGGCTCAAGCGGGTAACAGATTACTGCCCATACGTCAGAAAATGAAGCAAAGAACAAAACCTTTGATGTGCAGTTGCTCATGTGTCCTTTTACACCAAGAGGACAAGTGCAGCTCTACCATGGTTAATGGGATCTCTGCTGAACTGGAATGGCCAAAAGATAGGTAGGCATATAAAAGATGTCTGAATGCCAAACAATTCAGATAAGACATTCAATGACACATTAAGCATTCAATTACTAAAATTAACCAATTATTAAAATCAACAAAGTCCTTACTTGCATAGTATAATGTCTTTTACAGACTTAAGATTCAAACAGACCTCATAGTCCTGAAAAGTCTTTGAAAAAAAAAAATACATTGTCATATCTTGTATATAATCTGTTCCACAAATGAACACAGGGTGGCTCTTTCCCCTGGCTGCCACGCTCAGCCCAAGGTACAAAAGGAAGGGAAGTGCTCTTCTGCTGACTACTTGCCCAATATAGAATAACATTACCACCAACAGGCAGACCAGCAGCCAAACTCCTCCCTCCACTCTCACGTCACACACCAGAGACCCAAGGTGCTGGGCAGCTGGAGGGAGGAACAAGTCCATGCACTCACT